ACTGAGAGCGACAATATTGGCGGTGGTAGCAATCGTTATGAAGCAATATAAGGGAAAGAATATTAACTGCTCCATTGACGTTAGATTGGAGACGCTGTTTGGGGAATAGTACGTACAACATACGGTACCACAGCGAACTACTTCCATTGTCCCCCTGACACCATTTACCGCTTCGCTCCATTTCGTCTTCGACCTCAACAAATGTCCCAAGCCGTCCCCAAGGCCTCTTATGTTTCATACGGTTGTCGGAGTGCATTTCCCCGTAATACGTTCCGGTGCGCGCGCGCACATTTCAATTCAACTGAACTCGGAACTCTTTTCTATATCAATAAACGGAGGATTGAAAAAGAACAGAGTGGATTTGGATTCATTTGATATATATACACCAATTGCATGCACAAGAACGGTAGAAAGTTGTATTGGTTCTTGAAAGGTTCTACAAGGAAAGAGCGTTGGATTTGCATGAAACAAGAACGAGTCAGAAAAGGTAACAAAATAGTAGGATGGCATAGATACGTATGCGAATGGACTTTTCTATAAGCTGAAATGGAACTTGTATGAAATGAATACGGAGTGGCAAACTTAGATGTTACAAGCAATCTCTACATAAAATTTCCGTACGTGGTTGTTATCTTCTTTCATCTGTCAGCCGGGTCCATCTGCAAAAATCGCATTTGGCCTTCTGTTGACTTGTTCTAGTGACCTATCATTTGATTCCTACGCTCTATCAGATTTTAGATTTCCTATATATATATATATATATATATATATATAGTATAGATACATTTCGCAAGAATCGTACGCTTGGACAAAGTATGTAACGCTCATCTCAAATTGCTTTTAATCCGTGACTATCGCGTGCGCACGATGCCTGTTAACGCAGCTGCACTGTATTTGCATCTTTGAGCACAATTTCTTAATAATTGTATTGTATACAACTGATAGTACAGTCGCTTGCTAGTTATCTAGTCACGATCGCAAAATAGCAGATAAAATTGCAGAATCTACCCGTGTTGTCTCCGCCGGCTCATCTAATACCTTTTCACCACTACGATACAGCCAGAAGGAGCGATTACAACGTTAGCATTATTAAATAAAAGACAAAACTATCTAGGTATCTAAAGACACGCGCAAAAAACGTTTTGGCGTTACGAGCCCGACGCGCACGCTTGCTTGTTGTGCTTGGCAGTAATTCTATTCGAGATAAAGATAACTGTTCGACGGTAGTCCCGACGGCGCCCGTTGATTCATTTTCATTTTAATACGCATCGCTAATTATAGCAGAACCTATTTCAGATAGGGGTTGTCAGCTACTTAGGACATTGTTCATTTGAGGAAAAACTTGGGCAGGGGTCTTGACGTCAGGCGAACGGCGGTACTGCGCTCAAACAGTAAAATCCAGTGTGAAATAAGGATAGCAACTACGTGCGCGCTTTTTTATGGTAACGTTGAAGTGACTCATCGTTTCGATCGTATCGACTGTGTTCGTGTGCTAAGGTGTCGGTATAGCCGCCATATTACTGACCAAACGGTAAAAGGCGATGCTTGTTTATGGTGCCTCGTTTCTTGTTGCTTTGAATAGAACATAGATAATAGTACAAGTCAATATAACTGTCAACAGGTTTTATAAATGCTTACATTGTACGGAGAGTTTTTGAAATACCGATAGGAAAGGACGAGTTTGACAAATGAAGTGTTGGCAGATCGAGTACATGATTACAAACGAATAACAAGCCTATTTTATAGCTTGCATATTTATCCATGTGTCAACGCGTGATATATATATATATATATATATATATATAGGACATACATTCTCGAACAGAAAGTCTTTATATCAAAGGCGGGAATTTATCTATTTATATTGAAGACGAACTCTTTTTTTCTTCTGTAGATGTACTCCTTGTTATATCAAATATATGTTGTATCGGGCGTGTATTTGCAATACAAGTGATAGACGCTAAGCGATTGAAGTCGCACAGTCTTAGTAATAACAATAGCACCTTCTACAAACATACAGAATGAGTATTGCCACTTGCATTTATATGGCCATGTATATTTTAGGTATGATATGTCGTTATGTAGGACAGAAAAACGCATCTGTGTGATAGTTCCTTCATTTGACCGGCGGCTAGTGAACAAAAATATTTCACACTCGGCCTGAAGAGGACAAACACTCTCTCAAATGGCACGACCCCTAGAGTTGCTGGAGGGACTATTAGTGCTGTTTAATTAGGAAAAAAAAAAGGAAAAGCTTAGGACAAACGCAAACGCCAGCAAGATGAAATATTCAAACGTGTAAATAGCACTTCAGTAGAGGGACAATCCCAAGGGGGGGGGGGGGGGCCGCAGACAGCATTAGCGACAACAGCGGTAGGTTTAGGGGCCTCGAGGTATAGAAGTCGGTGTTGTTCGCGGCCGGTCAGAATAATTTCATACTAGAGCTAGCACGTTTAGTCAACATACGTTGTGCGTATACAACTGTATATGCTTCCAATATGACCGTATGCTTTAAAAAAGACGATGTCTACAAAGTACAATGCTTATGACGTAAAGCATAAGGTATTGCCGAATCCTGTAAAATATCATGATGTCTACCTCTCTTCAATGCCCTCTTGTCAATACATGTGTGGAGTAGATGGTTGAATTTAATATGACGCCAGTAAGATTTGAACGGTAACATTGTCTTAGCGTAATTGTCTGGTATATACAGACAATACTTAGATGCATCATTATCAAAGGCCATAAGCTAGTTTACCAGGCCTGCGTTGAGTGGCGACGAAAAAAATGCATTGTATTTGACTTTTTTGCATTCAGCCCATGGCAATGACGGCAGGTCTGCCATCACAGTATCTACCAAGTAAGCGCAAACAAGAAACATTGGTTTTTATGGTATAATTTAATGTTTGAAACAAACACATGAGTGTTCGTTTGATGGTAGACGCCATTTCGAACTATTTATTGCAGGTGTACACGCCTTCATTTCTATTATGGTCCAATATGCCAATTAATTATCAGATAGTGTGAAATGATCCTTAAAATATGGTAGACGGATTCTATGAAAGTAATTTGAGGTCAGTGGCCATAACTGCTCACCTCGTTTTGCTAAACGACTAGTTTTCCGCGCGTTCATCCAGAGCGGGACCACCCTACTCTGGCCTGGTACGACTGAATCCTGAGTTCAGCGTTCTAGGACCTGGTTATGATTGTAGTGTTACGGGCAAATACGGCTCTCATGTTGGTCTGAATTCTAGCGAAGTGCCCTATTTCAATAAGCAGTACTCTCTGGCTATTGACCTAGCCTTCCTCTAGTAGAAACTTATTCAATGTGCTCGTCCTCACCGCATCGTCTGATGTCTACACAAAACACTGAACGTCATATAAGAGACTTCAGGAGCTAGAAAGTGACGTGTCCCTCGATAGAAATCGAAGCTTGTCGCTTCTGGACTTACCAAATCAGTTCTTGTTTCAGACATTCACAGCTGAATCTATAGACGTCTACAATGCCAGACGTTTGACTGGCCTGCCATATAAAATAGGGCAGAGTCCTTTTGTTTACATTATGCTCGAAGGTATGACCAATAAAAAGACATCATTTATATTCCTCTTTTTTTAGGGAGAACTAGATTGAACTGCACAAGAGCAAACCTCTGATTCGTTGTTACACATAACTGCACTAGTAGCAAATAAATACAGACACCACCCCCTCCCCCCTACCTATTAGTTTTTTCTCTTCCAGCCACCTACGTTTGGCATAAACAGTATGGGTACGCTTTTGCCATGACAAACAAAAGATACGGCCTGCTAGTAGCCTTTATGTTATAAAGGGCTCTTCACAGTTATAAACAGAAAAAGAAGGTTCTAAGTAAGGTATTCTAAGCATAGGCCAAAACGTTTGTTACGAAGGAAAGGTTACCAGTCAAACCTAAGCTGTATCGTACTAGAAAAAGATGGTAGATATGTTAGTTGACGACAACCTAAATCTATTCACTACCTGCGTACATTTGTACGACCAATCATCATTGTTATCAAATGTTCCTGTTAACCATACAATATTATCATCGCTACTGTTTGTCTGGGCATTGTCCGATATCTTCGTAGGTGCACACCTGCTTACTAATACACGAATGAGCTCTTCTTCCACGGTTCAGGGGCAAATAGATACAGGACAAGTTAGCGAGCACAGCCCCACTTCATAGCCTAGAGACCCCACGTAAAAAACCACATACAGCGCACATTGCCTCGCCTCAATGTACGCTTCTGAATCGTGTGAATCTCTACTTCTTTCATCTACAATCCCCATTCAGGACGTAATGTCTGTGTTCCGTGGCGGCCAATTATTTCCATACACATTCACTGACATATAGAGCGGTGCTGACACACAAATATGTACATTCGTCTAACTCATGCTCTATAACCAGCGATAAAACGAATGCTTTATTTAGTAAAGGATTTCGCACCTTAGGATTACCTACCGTCAGGTTCAAACTTTTCACTGACAAATATTTGAAGAGTTCAAGAAGTTAGCACGCTAAGATGGTAGCTGGAATAGCGCTGAAAAATACTGATTTATTTGTAAGCCCTTTTAAGTGCGTCGTTTTCTGACTTTTCCGTTTGAGAGTCTTCCTCCTACGTTTAACGTACAATGTCAGACACGCTTTGTGTGTCGTATCATATTATTGTATTGTAATATTAGTCTTGCTTTTATTAGGTAGGTGACAGCCTCTCTAGGAAACAAGCAGTTTGTTTCGTATCGTAAGTTGCTTAAAAGTTCTGGCTGGACCAGCGTTCACCGGCCATTTCTGGACAGACGTTAACAGTAGAGTATGTCTCGACGATGTGGTACGTACGGGGCCAGCGCATCTCACAGTATATTCCGTTAACAGCTCAAGGGCATTATTCACTGTGTACTGACGACTCTATACTAATGATGTTGTTGTTCGCTTTCATCTTCCTGTATCTGCTTGCATCGTACCGCCTCCCAACCCCTTCGCCTGCAGACATCCTGCGCCACAGTAAGTCCGACCCGATGCTTACCTCACCAACGAGTCGCGAAGTCATGCGCTCTCAGCAAATGGCCATCGCACGACGCCTCGTGTCGTTGCAGGCTTGCGGCCAGCAGCGCTACTTGCAACTTCGTGGTCGGCATTCAGTCGAAGAGGACTTCCCAGGCCAAGGCGGGCAGAACAATCGCCATGAACAGGACCATGAGGATGACAAACGCGATGAGGACGAAGAAGCCGTTGAAGACGATGTTAGCATCGCTCCGACAATTGAGCAGATTAAGGACGACTACAACTCCTGTTTTTCGTAAGTTCTTACAGGTGACAAATACGAATTGATAGACGATTTGGCACTTTGCCATTTTATATAGAACGTCATATAGAGAAGATTTTGGTAGAATTAGAAAACGCGGTATAAACGGTCCATTGGGTCTGATAGATACAACGATGAATAAAAGCAAATAGGGTCAGCTAACTACCATAGAGCGAACGACTGTCGGAGGAAGAGAGAAGTTATCGGAACAGAGGAACGAGACCGCTTTCTCTCTCTAACGCTCACTGTTGTACATGAAACAATGCCCATTCGTTATACAACAAGCGATTATAATGCCATCGAAAACGTGGGATAGCCCCTTCTGTCATTATCGTTACCACCATAGAACGTCAAGGCACTCCCACACAGTGACGCTCCATCTCACACATCCATCCAGATGGACGCGGTACATGACCAGCAACCGGCAGCCATCATTTACTTTGTACGACTAAGCACTTAGCCCATTTAATATGAGGGTCAGTAAGAGGCAACAACTCAGAACTAAATATATAGTTCTGAAATGGACCCGTTGCCGTGACGTCGATACCGTAGACGTGTGTAGACATCGTGCCATCTCTAAATGTATATACATCTAAATGGCATCTTTTTTTGCGATACGACCTTTTCTGCCATCTGAAGTTATGGAGAATGAGGTAAAGACAATAATAGGTTTATTTGGGGATCAAGAATCTCTTAATTCTTTCCACTTTAATGAACTAGATAGAGTGGTATTATTTTACAAATAGGATTATGTTGTGTACTATTGCAGTTTGTAGTTGTGTCACAGTTGGTAAGTTTGTATGAGTTACTATTTGGTGCCTAGACGACAGACACTGAACGACTGGGAGCCATATGCAACGCGGAAGAGAGAAAGAAGTTCGTGACCGATGGTTATTGACAAATCATCAAACAGTTACCGCTAGCCGCATTGTTGCACCCCTGTTGAGATGCACGCTTTCGGGGATATTGGTGGCTTGCCCTGACCGTCAGATCATTTCCTGACATCTCGCACCTTTTTCCTGAAGGTCCCCGAAGGAACATACCTTTCCAATTACGCGCTTTCTGCAGGAGAGAAGGCTTCGCCTGATACCCGAATTGACTTCTTGGCGCCTCATGACAATCTATTAGTATTAAACTATATCTAGGCCATAAATTGCCTATAGCAGTAATGCAGAAAGGTGGGTTTTCGATTATGTTTTCCTCTATTTTACCAGGCTATAGACTCATACAGAAAAAGCGACTTGGTATTAACTTAAAACCGATTAAGTTACTTAGAAACTACTTATGTGAAGATGCTGCACCGAATATGATCTACAAGGCAATTAACGCGCAAGACTGGCGGGAAGACTGTGCAGAGTTAGCTTTTGCAAATAAGTTATATCTTCATCAGTACCATACTAGCTTCTTGCTAAAAGGTTCCATGAACCTGTTTAGATAGCAAATTATAGATATAAAGCATGTGCATCGTAACATATGAATCCCCTAGAGCTCTCTATTTTCCCCGTACGATTTTATTTTACGATTTTAGGAAGTGTGAGACTAAAATGGATTTAAGCAATCTGAAGCATCTCTCTCTCCCTTTTGAGTCAATGTCGGCTTAGCGCAGTATGGTATGCGACGCATATAAGCGTATTAGAGAAATGTCTTTCCTAGCAAATAATGGTAGGACCCTAACTCTAGCCGGGACACTGCAAGAACCCCTACGACCTCTTATGACCCGGCCATTGCATTATAGTCAAGCTGCGGTATAGTTGATCTTTAGTCCCTTCAGTCTATGATAATCTGTTATTAATAGTTATGTCGCTCATGATAAAATGAAGCTGACTTCATTCAGATAAATTGCTATTTTCTGTACTAAATCACGGATGCCCGAACACGGCGTAATTTTCTTTAAGACACTGGAGGTGCTTTTCCTGGTTATCGTAACTATCTTTAATGAAAGCTGCCCCTAGCTTTACTCAGGATTTCGTTTAAAATCTACCATCTGATCGAGTCGCATGTTCGCCACACGGGCCTTCGTCTAGAATCGAATGTCTCGTCATTACCGGTTAAAAAGATCAGTTAGAAAAACGTAATTAAGGACCACAATCACAGTAGTGATAGCGATAATCCTAATTAGATCATTGAATACATGTGGATAATTATGTTGATATACAGTACGACTAAAACGGTAACGGCGGCGTAAACAATAGGATAAGGCCATCGGTTATGGGTAGGCAGCTTATAGGTGAATAGTTAAAGTGACAACACTGGCCACCAGAAGCATTCGCACGCTTGTTCACAGCAGATGCGGAACTTAATATCCAGAGCTATATGGCTTCTCTTCAAGAACTACAGGGTAACAAAAAAGGTTCTAGCTACGAAATGCGCGATCCTGAAAGGTATAAGAAACGTTTCTTGACAGATCTCAAATTTACCATAATGTCGCTGAGTTACCAATCTAGTTATCTACTATTAGCAAAGTGAATTTCTAGCGGAGTGCTGCGATGTCGTGCTTATTTCGTTACTGCTGATGAAAGCTGCTATTGTTACAAGGCTGTCTTAGGGTCTGGAAGTCATTTTGTTATAGACCAACACATTAGTTGCTCCGTTTAAGCGGCAGTTTTCAAAAAAACAGGAATAAAAACGGAGACACTATAGAATTTTTAGATGCTTGCGGTCTCTATTTATTTGTCTGTCTGTTTGTCAATCGATATGGGCCAGACTAACAGTAGCGTGCCCACCTTACGTTGGAAAACGACGCCAGAGCACTCGCTGTCATAGGCACTTGCCCTCGCGACTTTTATCAGTAGTTATTGCCAAGGAAAGAAGACGCACTAATAAGCAAGCAAGCGTTTACTAGAGTTACGTAAAGATCTTCCTGTTGTATAGTGTCGCTATGGCTTTCATGTACAGTAGATCATATCATGGCCTGGCATTAGGTGTTGTAGCTCCTTACAGCTGGCGGCAACAGGCGAAGTAAATCAGTATGTTGGGGCAAGTCAAGCGCTAACCACATTACCCCACCCTCGAACCTAGTTAATAAAAAAACAACTGAATTAGCTAGTTCTCGCTGAGCCTGTATCTGTTTGTCCCTGCAGTCGTCAACGGCCTCTTTGTTCAAATAGCCATCCGACCACCTTCACATCGTTTAGCCGCTACATTAACCACTAAGACTGTTACTTAGTATTTTATATTGAATGTTGATTCTATTCTGGTTGTTCCCCTTGCGTTGTAAACATAAAACACAGGGTTAGCGGTACGTCGTGCGGAGATGCCGTGTTGGGACATCTAAGGTGCTTTGTACGACCTTTCACTGACGTATCTGTGCTTTCTTACGGGTACCAGTGCAGTATGTACGTACACCGTGTAGCCAACACTGGATATGAAGCAACCTTTCCCACAGATGGTGGTACTTCTGGCCATCGTGTGCAGTCAATATCGGCTATCAGCCTCTAGTCAACAAAACCAAACAAATCATGTTCACAGTCACAAAAGAAGCATAACTTGTATTTAGCAGCACTGAAGATCTGGCAGTCGATCAGAACAAGATTATAATTTCTAAAAGCTGTGTTGCAGTCAGCCCCCTCCTACCCACCGCATGCAACATAGAAATACAACTAGGTTGTAACGACAATAACAATAGCCCTGTTCATCGTATCGAGGCACACGAAATATATTGGCGTAACTGCCCGTTGAAACGCTCCGGGTAATCAATGTGTCGATTGGCAAGCAACGCCACATACGCGATACGTAGCCATGAATGTAAGAAAGAAATCAACGGTATCATGCGCGCTGACCCTATATGTTTCACCTAAGTGCGTAGATGTGGTGCGTCGTGAGTGAATCGCTCATACGTCATATATAGCTAAGGCAGTTGTTGAATCGCATCCGTTCTTATGGAACAAAGAGCATATACGACGTACCTGCATGACTGATATACATATACTGTTTGATACTCCCAGAGATCTAAAAGCTGAGGCGGATCAGTCAGAATAGGGATGAGGACGCTGGACTCATCCCTATTTGGACCAGACCTCAGACCCATAATATGCACGACACCTGTACAACTATCCTTATAACTCCGTCTTAACCTTTCGTAATTCTTACTTTGCATATGTATGTGTATAAATTTGCGCCCCTATATATGTGCACGGCAAGTAGATTCCATGGTGAGATTGATCTCTTTGGATACAGCCAAAAACTACAGGTTTTTCTGACCATAAAAATAAACTAGTGCCGAAGAACGATTCTGGGCGCTTCAGATAGAAGTGCGTACGGAAGCGTTAGGCTCTAGCGAGGCTATAAGATCAAAAATATGTTGGAATTCGAGTCGCCGTAATAGCGGTGAACCAAAGGTCAATTTAGCGCTCGCTTTCGCTACAGTAGTAGATACGCCCCCGCTCACAGATACGCAAGAATTAGTTCCAAACGAGTGAGAGACTGGCTGTAGTAATGGGCTTCTTCGTCTGCGTACTTCTGCTTCATTCAGACAAGCCTTATTGATTCATGTGGTCGCGTTAGCGGTTTTACGACGTAATGGGGGATGTTGGCAGCTAGGCATTTAGGATCAGGGGTGCTATTTTGGGATGAAGTGTGGCTAAAAAGCTTCGAGTGGACTAGTTGACATTAACGACATGGCCCGGTAGGGGCGAATCTAGAGTAATTGGACTGGCGTGCCTATGTGTATAGGAATTATCGTGCGTGTGGCACGTTCAGTCTGCTTGTTTGTCCCGGTTATTACAGCCGTCACGATGTAGACAGCGGGAGGCGTCGAACAGAGTTAGTCGGTAACATTGCGCTGTGACCAGGTGAGCAGGAACCCAGCGTCGAGTGGATGGGACATTGTCGCCCGACCAGCTTGCGGCGATACACGCCGCAATGGAAGTACTTCCAGCTAGCGCCCGATGAACTGCCGACCACTTCGTCGTTATTGGAAGTTCTATTTAAAGCCGATTTTGTAGCAAACATTCGCAGCCGTCTTCACGACAATTGTAACGGTACGGCAATGATAT